TGGGGCTATGTTACCCCAAATGATCTGTGTTGCCCCAAAAGGAGTCTGTCTCATGTTTTAGTTGGGGAATTAGCGAAGGAGACGAAGACTTTGCAAGAGGAGGGTAATCTAGTGAGATCTCTCCACCTATGTTTTATGGGGGTCTTTCTCTTTGAGAACTCTCAAATAACCAGTCCAAGGTAAAATAGAGATGTATTTTATTAATAGGAAATGGGAAGGCTAACATACATGAAGTACACAAGAAATAACACACACACACACAAGACCAATTTAGGAATAAAAGGAGTAGCAGAAATAAAGGAGTCTGTTGGAGAAATTATAGCTACCTGTCCTGGAGAGCAGAAATCTGTGGAGCAGAGGAAAGTGACCTAAACAAAGTTGGGGGGGAGGGAGTCTGTAGGTGCCCAAGACAAAACACACACAGCAATGGAGCTGTGGCTGCCTCGTTATAGAAAAAATGGGACTTGAAAACAACACCCCTTGAAAACAAAGAAATGATGAGATTACCTAAAAGGTAAAACAATGAGTTTGGGAACACTGAATGGGGTTACCAGGAATTGACAAAGGGAACAGCAGATGTCTTGGGAGGAGTTCTTGATGTAAAATAAGGTTTGGGCTGGACTCTGGTAGCTTCCCATGGTGATCCAGAAGACTAATGGACTGCTAATTAAATGCTGCTCCTTGACCCTCCTTTTGTTTTAGGTGGGAAGGATGGGAGCTGTTATTATGAAGGAAATTTGGGTAGAAAAAGGTAAGGGGAGGTTGATAGTATTAGTGATCCAGGTTGAATGGTGTTAGCTCTGGGGCAAGGTCCTTTGTTCAGCGTATGCAGATGTCAGGGCAGAGGGAGAGGTTGCATCTGGGTCAGACCAAGATCTCACACCTTCCAGGGTTGCTGCCTTAGGCATAAATCTGAGGCCTGCCTGTCTGGGATCCATCTTGTTTATACTAAGGTCAAGTCTGCCTGGCATACATACTCCTGGGATGCTGTAAAATGGGGGATTACTCCACATTGCTCTCAGTAAAGAGAGGGGGTCTGCCTGTTTACAGTTATGTACACTGGGCTAAGAACTAGAGGCGATACAGAACCCACACCTTTTTCAGTGGCTGTTTCTATTTTATGAAATAGCCTTCCCAAAGTTGTTAGGAAGGCTTCCACTTTGTTCAGATTCTTCTAGTTGGGCAAGTTGGAATTATTCAGGAGGACATTTAACCTAATCTTTATTTATATACAGCTGTTTGTTTTTATGGATTTTAATTGACTATTACTTTTATTATCATTGTAACCTGCCTGCAATCTGGTTTTGGAGAAAAGTGGTCCAAAAATGCTTTAACTATACAAATGAATTACTGTTTAGTTCATAGGGCTTATGCATTTATTTATTTATTTATTTTGCTATTAATGCTCCCCAAAGGCCAAATAACTGGACAGCCCAAAAGCATATGTTTAAGAGATGTGTCTTGTAAGTAACAATACGAACAATTATACAGTTTATTTCGTCCTGTACTAAAAAGGTGTTCTGGTGTCCATTAGATCCCAAACATATTTTCCCTCTCAGTAAGTTGCAGTTTGAGTTCTATAGAAACATATGTCTCATTACTCTGGCAAAACAGAGCAATCTAGGTCCTTATTCCATTCATTCCTGAGACTTTGGATATCATATTTATTACTTAACTTCCAATATTTATAAACAAATTGTTTTCTGCATTAATTCAATGAGAGTTTCCAAGAGTAAGGGAGAATCTGAAACACTATTTAGATATTAACACATGTTGCATTTATAAATATTGCCATTCAACAGAAGTTTACAAGTCATATCTAGACCTCAGCTGAGAAAATAACAAAAACTCATCATCACAGTCTATTATTTGGGAAAAAGTAAACATTCCTCTTTTTGTCCAAGCCTTTGATATAAAAGATTTCTTCCTAATTTTTAGACTGGGATTGGCCCATAATGTTAATTTAGAATGTGAAATGGATCGAATTGATATTGTTGTGATATTATGCACCATAATTCGCATTTCATTTAAAGAGCAATGCCAAGACAAGAAGGCTCCAGTTTTGCCCAAAATTGACAGTCCAAATGAGAGGAGCAATTCCAATGACCATATGCCTGATGATATAAAGCTACTTATATCATGTATACTAAAATTTGAATAGTACAGAGAAGATTAGCATGACACCCAAACCATGAATGATTGGGTCATACATAGAGATTAAATACCATGGGGCCACAATACTGAGTCTTGTGGATCTTCACAGGACAAGTCCCACACTAATTAAACATTGCACTCTAACAGCAACCCTCTGAATCAAGTCATAAAGAAAAGATTTTAACCCAATCCAAAATACATCCCCTGGTACCTATTTCTGCCTCCAAAAGTCTCAGCAAGATGGCCTGGTAGGGCTGCCAAGTGGGGGCGGGTAAACCCCCGCTTCGGAGGCACGATTTCCGCCGCCACGGAATCGGGCCCCAGGGGAGACTCCGCCTCGGCGTGTGCGTCACCTGGAAGTGACGCAGGCACGCTGGGGGCGGGGCCACAGCCATACAAGGGAAAACCCTATGGTTTTCCCTTGTATGGCCGTGGCCCCGCCCCCAGCGCGCCCAGCATGCCTGCGTCACTTCCGGGTGACGCACACGCACACACACCCGATGCCGGCTGGGAGCCCCCCGCTCCCGGCGAAGAATCACTTGGCAACCCTGTGGCCTGGGCCACTGTGTCAAAGGCAGCAGATAAACCCAACAAGAGCCAGAAGGAAACAAAGCCCTTGTTTATATTCAAATGGAAATCATCAACAAAATCCACTAGTGCCATTTCCATCCACAGCCTGGTTTGAAACCAGGCTAAAAAGATGAGTCATCTGGGAAGACCTAGAGCAGTTCTGCAATCATTCTGTCAATCACCTTGTCCAGAAAGGACAAATGAGAGACTGGATAATAATAATTATTATTCATCTCTTATTCATGCAGTAAATTTTTATTCTGCCCTTCCTCCAAGGAGTTTAGGGCAGCATACATGATTATCCCATCCTCTGTTTTATCAGCACAACAACCCTGTGAGGTAGCTTAGGCTGCAACAGAATAAGTGGCCCAGTGTACCTCAGTGAGTGTTATGGCAAGCAGGGATTTGAACCAAGATATCTCCAATTCTAGTCCAACACTCTAACACAACACCAGTATCTGCGCAAGCACTCAGTGACTGTAAGGTTCCAGGGCATTCTTGCTAACCATGTATTGCTGATGCCCTTGGTTACTTGTTCTGTCATGTAGTGCCTAGCTAAGCTGAGGGACAGGGATTGCATCCTGCAAAGCCAGCCAGCACTCCTGCTGATTGTGTTCTCTCTCTCTAGCTGAAGCCTGTGGAAGAACTCATGGAGATATTTGCCAGCACCACAGAAGCTCAAGAATTGGCAGCTGAGACCAGTAATGACCCTGCTGCAGCCAGGAAGCAGCTGGAATCTGCTTTGCAGAAGATTGCTAAGGCAGCAGGGCTTCCTGGAATCGTAGGTGGGAAAGCTCAGGCAATTTCTGCACTAGCTTTGGTGTTCTGATGAGATCTACCCTATAAAGCCCTAATGGGACCCATTTGTCTCCCCAGGAGAAGCCCAGACACATAAGCCACACCTCATCCCTATCCCTGCTGCCCGGTGTTATGCCTACATCTGGGATCAGGATAATTTTGGTAAGCTGAAAGCACCTAAACAAGCTAGAGTCTGAGATAAATGTCTTAATCCTCCTGACATGCAGTTTGCAACTCATTATTACCTTTTTAAAAGTGTGTTCTGATAATATGCCTGCAATATTGGTTGGGATCTAGAGGGTCCTGCTTCTTCAGACTTAAAACTGATCTTAAATTGGTCCAGTGCTGTGATGGTACAGCATGTTTAAGTTTCAAATTCGATGGCATCTTACACTATGTATCTAAACTTGCATCATGTGTTTCTACTCCTGTTGCAGACATCTTGAATGAGGTACTAGGCAAGGAGTGCGACTACCCCAAGCCAGCAGTTCTGGAAGATGATGATGAAGAGGAAACGGATGCCTGCTTCCCACAAAATGGTTCTTTGTTGTCTTCCTTGGAATCAATCTCCAAAGAGTCTGTATATTCAGCCTTGTCAGAGGATGGCTCACATAACTCGCGAGTGTTCATCTCTGCAGTTTCCAAGGACCCAGACTCTGAGCTCTCATTGGCCTCTACAAAGTCCTTGAAGTCTTTTGTCTCCAGCCTGAAGGACGGCATGGACAGTGGCTATGTGGAGGACAGTGATGAGAGCTCTCTTGAATCCACAGGGCGCTTGGATCCAAAGGAAGAGAAGGCATCACCCAATCGGCGGCACCGGTTAACCAACAAGATATACAAGTTGTTCAAGAGCAAAAGCCAGCTGATCCTGGGCAAAGAGCTGAGCGACGTTTCTGAGATATCTTCCCTATCATTGCCCCTTCGCCGAGCAGAGAGCCTCTACAACCCTGTGGCCAAGCACCACATCCATATGCGCTCCCGGCGAGCACAGTCACTGCCTCAACATGTACTGAGCTCAGAGCTTTTGCAGCAACGTGTCCCAGATAATGTCTGCATCCAACGTAGGCCTTTCCTGAGCTGTGATGAGGATGCGAAGATCTCGACACTGCGTGTCGTTGTGTTTGGCTCTGACCGCATCCTGGGGAAAGTAGCTCGAGCTTATAGCAATCTTAAGTGAGTGAAAGAACATAGATTTGCATCTGATATCCCTTAAGAACATAAGAGAAGCCATGCCATCTGTTGCCCCCCAAGAATACAGAGCATCACTGCCCCAGACATAGTGTTCCCTCTATACCTTGTGGCTAGTAGCCACTGATGAATTTCTGCTCCATATGTTTATCCAATCCCCTCTTGAAACTGTCTATGCTTGTAGCCATCACACCACTACCTGCAGCAGTGAATTCCATATAATAATTAACTATTTGGGTGAAGAACTTACTTTTATCTGTTCTAAACCTACTACTCATTGATTTCATTGAGTGCCCACAAGTTCTTGTATTATGAGAAAGGGAGAAAAGTACTTCTTTCTCTACCTTCTCTGTCTCATGCATCATTTTGTAAACCTCTGTCATCTCACCCCTCAATTGTCATTTCTCCAAGCGAAAGAGCTCTGACCCCTTTAATTTTTCTTCAAAGGGAAGGTGTTCAATCCCCTTCATTTTAATTGTCCTTTGCTGCACTTTTTCCAATGCTATAATATCTTTTTTGACGTGATCTGAACTGTCCACAATATTCCAAATGAGGTTGCACCATAGATTTATACATGGGCATTATGATACTGACTGATTAGTTTTCAATTCCCTTCCTAATAATCCCCAGCATAGCGTTTGCCTTTTTTTACTGCAGTTGCACAGTGAGTCGACATTTTCAGGGAGTTATCTACCATGTCTCCAAGATCTCTCTCCAGGTCAGTTACCGCCAGTTCGTACCCCATCAACATATATTTATAGTTAGGATTTTTTGCTCCAACATGCATTACTTTGCACTTGCCCACATTGAACTTCATTTGCCATGATGATGCCCACTCCCCCAGCCTCAACGGATCCCTCTGGAGCGCCTCACAGTCCTCCCTCATTCTCACTGCCCTGAACAACTTAGTGTCATCCACAGACTTGGCCACTTCATTACTTACTCTCAAGTCCAAATAATTAATGAACAAGTTAAAAAGCACCGGACCTAGAACCGAGCCCTGCCCATGTGGTTCCCCACTGCTTACCACTTTCCACTGTGAAAACTGCCCATTTCTACTCACTATTTCCTGTTAATTAACCAGTTTTTAATCCACAAGGGAACTTGTCCTCTTATTCCATGACTGCTGAGTTTCTTATCTTTTTAATTGTGCGCCTGTGTTTTCTTCTCCTTATGAGGAGTCAGATTATAGTCCGGTCTTCTTTTGTTAGACAGCTTGTCTACCTCGATTTCTTGTTGCTGTAGTCCCAATGATTCTAATGGCATATGTCCAGAGTCTATATCTATTGCAGATAGTAGGTTGCCATTGTACCAGACCTGGAGTTTTGCAGCTGCACTCCATCTATAGAGTGTTTGCTTCTCGCAATTTTGCAGTTATTAGTTTTAAGGTTCTTCGCATAGTTATAGCATCAGGGGGCAGATCTGGAAATATCTCAGTTTTAATGTCCTGAAAGTTCAGATTTTCGTTCACTCTTGCTTCAGTTAGAATTCTGGTTTTTGTTCTTAAATCTTGGACTGTTGCAAGGATATCTCGTGGCCCTCTTCTGGTGTCTTTGTGTCGCTGCCCCAATCAATGTGCTTTCAAGATTGTAGGAGACACTCCATCTTCTAACTTTAAAATTTAGGTTAACCATTGTGCAAGAAATATTTGCATGTCTTTAGTTTCTTCAGAGCCCTCAGGGAAACCCCGAAATTTTAAGTTAAATTGCCGAGTCTCCATTTCCAAAGCAAGTACTCTCTTTCGAGTTACTGCGTCATCATTTTTATAGCTTTGATTTCTGCTTTGTTTTGTATGCCTAGTGTTGCAGCACGATCAGCTTTATGCTCTACTTCAGTTAGTGCAAGCTTAATATCATTGAGTTGAGTTTGTATGGGCTCAAACATTTGTTTTATCATTTCTAGCATTCGGGATTTCATTTTGCTCATTTGCTTGAGTAGGTTTTGTGTGTCCCCAGTACCTTGCTCCAACAGCCATCTTGGATTTCGCTCCTCTGGTAGCTATTTGGTCTGTTCATTTCGGGATTGTTTTAAAATAGTCCGTCAGCTGTCCGGAGTTCTTTTTAGGAGATTTGTTTAATTCTGCTGCTTCTCCCATCAATATGGGGATATTTTAAAGCCAAAGTGGTACGATTAGCATTGCATTGGGCACGGGAAAATGCGGAGCTTCAGAATTACGCCTCCGCCATTGTCGCTCCCACACCACACCCCCATGACTGCTGAGTTTGATGAAGAACTTTATCAAAAACTTTCTGGAAGTCTAGGTAAACAATATATACTGGGTTACCCTTGTCCACATGTTTGTTTACCCCCTCAAAGAACTCTAAAAGGATAGTGAGACAAGATCTTCCCTTAAAGAATCCATGCTGATTCTTCCTCAATAGCTTTTGTTCATCAATGTGCCTACTAATTCTATCTTTAATAACAGATTCCACCAACTTACCTGTTATCGATGTTAGACTGAGTGACCGGTAATTTCCCAGATTTCCTCTGGAACCTCTTTTAAAGATAGGGTTACATTAGCTACCTTCCAGTCCTTGGGAATGGAGGCAGATTTTAGTGATAGATTGCATATTTTGGTCAGGAAATCCACAAGTTCACATTTGAGTGAATTCTTTCAGAACTCTTGGATGTATGCTATCTGGGCCTGGTGATTTGTCATTTTTTAATTTGTCCATCAGGTGTACGACCTCCTCTCTCATCACCTCAATATGATTCAGGTTTTTTAACACTCCTCCTGAAATTGGCAGTTCTGGAATAGGCAAGCACCTCCCATCTTCCACAGTGAAGACAGAAGCAAAAAAATACATTCAGCTTCTCGTCCTTTAGTAATCCTTTTACCCCTTGGTCATCCAGTGGCCCCACTGCCTCCCTGGCTGGTTTTCTGCTTCTAATGTATTTGAAGAAATTTTTTTCTTTATGTTTTTTGCAATATTTGTTTATTTATACCCTGCCCTCCCTGCCAAAGTAGGCTCAGGGCGGCTTAGAGGCCTAATGGCATCATATAAAGATTAAAACAAATTAAAACAGTTCATAAGGTGCTACATTTGTATGATGGCGGAATAACTGTCCTTAATAATCATACACAGTGAGGGATCTAGTCAGCAATAGATATGAGGCTGGCATCTGGCTCCGTAACATGGGCGCAGATGTGAACACATGCACAAGAGCAGGCAGCCAGAGATGGATACAGGGCACAGGTTCCTCGGTCGATGCTAGACTATTAGATGCAACACCTCAATACAATGTTTGGTGGAGGAGCTCTTACAGGCCCTGCAGAATTGTAATAAATCCCGTAGGGCCCTGATGTCCTCAGGGAGCTCATTCCACTAAAGTGGGGCTACTACTGAGAAAGCTCTAGCCCTAGTTGTGGCCAACCTGGCATCTTTTGGGCTGGGGGGCAACAAGGAGATTTTGTGACCCTGACTGTAGTACTCTCTGGGGAACATGTGGGGAAAGGCAGTCCCTCAGGTATGCAGGCCCCTGGCCATATAAGGCTTTATAGGTAAGAACCAACACCTTGAAACAAACCCGGTATGCTACAGATAGCCAGTGCAGTGCTTTCAGCGCAGACTGAATGTGCTCCTTCAAAGGGAGACCCAATAACAGTCTGGCCACTGCATTCTGCATCAACTGTAAATTCCAGATTTGGGGCAAATGCAGCCCCATGTAAAGAGCACTACAATAGTCCAATCACGAGGTGACCATTGCATGGATCACTGTTGCCAGGTCACTGCATTCGAGGAAGGGAACCAACTGGCTAATCATCCAAAGATGGTAAAAGGCTGACTTGGCAGTGGCTGCTACCTGGGCCTCCATCATTAAGGAGGCATCCAAGAACACTCCCAAACTCCTAACTTCCAATGTTGGCACCAGTGGCACCCCATCAAAGGTCAGGAGTGAGATCCCTAACCCCGGTCCAACATGACTCAGACACAGGACCTCCATCTTCATCAGATTCAATTTCAGTTGGCTCAGCCTAAGCCACCCAACGACAGTTGTAACGCCAAGGTCTGGAGTTGGAATGGCCATCCAACAACAGATAGAGCTAGGTGTCATCTGCATACTGGTGATATCCCAGCCCATTCTTCCAGGTAATCTGGGCAAGGGGGCACATATAGATGTTAAATAACATCGGGGAGAGAACAGCCCCTTGTTGTTGTCGTTCAGTCACACAGTTGAGTCCGACTCTTTGCGACTCCATGGACCGGATCATGCCAGGCCCTCCTGTCTTCTGCTGTCCTCTGAAGTTGGCTCAATTTCATGTTCGTTGCATCTATGACACTGTCTAACCATCTCATCCTTTTCCGTTCCCGTTTTCTTTGACCTTCAATCTTTCCCAGCATCAGGGTCTTCTCCATTGAGTGCTCCCTTCTCATTTGGTGGCCAAAGTATTTGAGCTTCAGTTTCATTATCTGGCCTTCCAGGGAATAATCAGGGTTGATTACTTTTAGGATTGACTGATTTGATCTTCTTGCAGTCCAAGGGACTCTCAAAGTATTTGAGCTTCAGCTTCAGCCCAAAGTATTTGAGCTTCAGTTTCATTATCTGGCCTTCCAGGGAACAATCAGGGTTGATTACTTTTAGGATTGACTGATTTGATCTTCTTGCAGTCCAATGGAGACTCAAGAGTCTTCTCCAGCACGATAGTTCAAAAGAATCTATTCTTCGGCGCTCGGCCTTCCTTATAGGCACTCCGTAAACCAGCGGATGCCTTCGGGACAGCTGCTTTCCTAGTGCCACCCCCTGTCCCCGACCCTGAAGGAAAGAGGAGAACCACTGCAAGGCAGACCCCTGAATCCCAGTGTCAGCGAGGTGGTGGAACAGTAACTGATGGTCGACCATGTCGAACGCCACAGGCAGGTCTAACAACAACAGTACTGCTGACTTGCCCTGATCCAGATGCCTTTGGAGATCATACATGAGGGCTACCAGTACCATCTCCGTCCAATGACCTGGGCGAAAGCCAGACTGGAATGGGTCTAGTA